TCTGGCTGAAGGGACTCAGCCCCAAAGGATGGAGGTGGAGGGTTTGTGGGAGAGCAGCAGGCATTCACTAGCTGGTCTGAGATCAGACCGGGAATACCCTAGGGACCCAGGCCTGGACCATGTGGTGCTTAGAATAAGAATGGTCCCCATAGGATCGCATTTAACACTCAGTCATCAGGGAGGGGCACTATTGGAGAAGGATTGGAGGTGTGGCCTTGTTGAAGTAAGTGTGACCTTGTTGGAGGAAATGTACCACTGGGTGGACTTTGAAAAGCCCAAGCCAGGCCCAGTTTCTCTCTCTCTCTCTCCCTCTCTCCCTCTCTCCCTCTCTCCCTCTCTCTCTCTCTCTCTCTCTCTCTCTCTCTCTCTCTCTCTCTCTCTCTCTCTCTCTTCCCCCCCCTCTCTCTCTGCTTGTGGATCAGGATGTAGAACTCTCAGCTACTTCTCCAGGGCCATGTCTACCTGCATGCCACCATACTCCCTGCCATAATGGTAATGGACTATCCTCTGAAACTCTAAGCCCCCACTTAAATGCTTTCCTTTTTAGGAGTTGCTGTGGTCAAGGTGTCTCTTCACAGCCACAGAACAGTGACCAAGACAGACCGCAAGGGAATATTTGTGGTGGGAACTTCTGGGAGCCTTGGAACCAAAGCCTGAGTAGCTTTTCCTCCCAGACTTTATGACCAGGAAGTTTTCCTAAGATGACACGTTTTGTCACATGATTGCCTACCAATAACTAGTTTGTGGTTGTGCCTTGAAGGTTTCCACTCAGACCAGTCAGTTGTCCTGCCTGGTCATCCTAATGTACTCTCACATTTGGAGAATGAAATCTAGCCCCTAGGCCCAGACTCAAGTGCAGCAAGTCTCCTGAGAACTTTCCAAGCCACAGACCAGTGGTTGACCCTTTAATACAGTTCCTCATATGTTAAGGGAAACCTCTTCCTTGAGAGAAGCCTTCCCACCCGCCTGGTTCTAGAGCCTCATCAGTCCCAAATAAACACACAGGAGGCTATATTAATTATGAAGCTGTTGGCCTTGCTTGTTTCTTACTGGCTAGCTCTGACTTAAGTAATTACCCCATAATTGTTAATCTAAGTATTTCTCTTACCGGAGAATGGTTCCGGGCTTCCTACCCCCATGGCATTACATCTTGACTCTCTTGTGTTTCTCCTTCCCAGAATCCTCCTGGATTCCTAGTCCCACCTATCTAGATTCCTATTGGCCAGACAGTGCTTTATTAACATAAGACTTCCCCAACACTCATGTTTATTTTTGTTGCTACCTCGTAACTGTGATTTTTTTTTTTTGCTGCTGTTATGAGCTGTAATGTAAATATCTTATCTGCAGGATATTTGATTTGCGACACCCAAAGGGGTGGCAACCCACAGGTTGAGAAGCACCGCTAGAGACCGTTATGGCTAGTAATTCGTAGTTTATGCTCTTCACATTTTAATTGTGTAAATTTTAAGAACTGGCTACACAAACATTCACAGACCATGTCCTCCATGCCAGATGCTGTTACTGGCACTGAGAACAGTCAGTGAACAAACATGTCCCCGTCTTCAGATGTCTGGATTCAATGGTCAAATAACCAAGTCTACTTGACAGATTCTGGGCTATTAATAGACCCTGTCTCATTTTTTTTAGTTAACTATTTATGAGGAAACAGATCTGAGGAGAGACAGGGAGCTTAGGGCAGTCTGAATGAGGAAGGCTTCCGTGAAGGCACCCTGAACATAGGTAGTGGGACAGAGTGAGCCAGGGAGCAAGGGAGATAAAAGTTGCCACGCACAAACTTGCTTTTGCGCACTCTGAAGGACAGCAAAAACAACTTGAGTAGCAGCTACCATAAGGTTGGCTGACTCCTTGAGGACTAGGAAGATGACTATAGGCACAGAGAGAAAGGGAAATATAGGTGCTGGAGGCTTTTGGATAGGGCCTGGGTGTGGACGGTGAAAACAGCTCTCTGGCTTTTGGCAAAGCAGCTGCAAGAACGAGCTTTTCTCAACTGAGTGCAGGGGTTGGGGTGGGTCTTGACCTTCTTTAAGGAAAAAATACAAAAATCTCAGTGTGCTAGAATGAGGCCTTGATAGGGCAGATGAAGACAGACAGGAGGCTGGAATCCACCCTGGGGCTCCAGGAGAAAGTTTGGACTGAACCATGAGTTTGGGAGTTATCAGTACATAGGTGTTGCTCACAACTACGAGGCTGGGTGGTTAACCTCAGAAGAGGTTATAGGCAGTGTCAAGGGTTGAGGCTTGTAGGCCTCTCCTTGACCCCATTTAATACAACATCACTTCCCATGTACACCACGTTTGAAGCGTTAGGGCCTTAGCCAATAGTAAGGCATTTCCTTGACCGAACAGTGTTTTTTTCTCTCCCACAAAGCCTGTATCAAGAAGTGGGAGCTATGGGTTTCCTGGTAACTATTCCCGGACGCTCAGAGCATCTTGGTGGTCTGCTAAATCTTTGGAAAATGAGCAGTTGCCAGACTGAAGGTCACAAGATTCTTTCCTATCTCTGTTTTCTCTTGTTTCAGATGGAAAAAGGAATGCGAGAAATTACTGTTTTATTGGCATTTGGTGGATCAAAATATGAGAAACTGTTTTTACAGCCTTACTAAAATTCACGCCACTGCTTGAGCTAACATAAAAATTCTATTAGCAACTTAACAGGCCATCGGAATGGCTCTGCAGGTAAAGGCGCTTGCTACCAAGTCTGATGACTTGAGTTTGGTCCCCGGAACCCGTAAGGTGGAAGAAGAAAATCAAATGCTCCAAGTTGTCCTCTGACCTCCACAGGTTTCCTCCCCCTACATTCACATTCCCACATGCAAATGCATGTACGCAGTGAACAAATGAATGCAATTATAAAACTAAAAAAAAGCATCATTTCCTTATATGTTTGGCAATAACATTTTAAATGAAAGCATTTATATGCTTTTTACTTTATGACTTCAATGTGACTTGCTATTTCTTGCAAAAGCCACTGTTTTTGTAACGCCATCACTGACAACAGTCTTGCAAAATTGGGACATGAATAAACCCTGATTACATCTGACTCAGCAGAGTGCTTGCTCCCGTCACTGGCAAGAGGGTGCTGCTCTGATTTGAATGCTGTCTTCACATAAGTTGATGAGCTCCAGGGAGGACGAGAGGGAATCATGTTGGAATGCTCTTCATTAGAGATGAGGCAAACGATGTGCACACTATCACTGCACAGGTGATGAGGTATACAGTGTGCGTACTATTACTGCACAGGTGATGGCTCCCAAACACTAGAAGAAACACCTTCTGCTCTTAAAATGATGACTAAGGCCACAATCCATCTTAAGTCCAGTCTGCATCATTCATATTTCCCTTCAATTTATAAGCAAGCAAAATAAGCAGCCCCTGTCAGAGTTGCATCATTTGCTAATTTCTGTAGCAAATAAGTTTTCCTGCTATGGTAAATCATCATAAGCTATATCACCTGGAGCTACTGAGCAAGAGGTTGGGAGATACAGAGCAGACTATAACATTTTTTGCTTAGCTTGATGCAATTTCAGAAAATAGGTCATAGGAAAGTGTGGTAAAGGGCTGGAGAGATGGTTCGGTGGTTAAGAGCACAGGCTGCAGTTTTGGAGGTCCTGAGTTCAACTCCCAGAAACCACAGGGCAGCTCACAACCATCCATAATGGTGTCTGATGCCCTCTTCTGGCGTAAAAACATACATGCAGGTAAAACACTCATACATAAAATACATAAATAAATACAATTTTAAAAAGAGTAAACAGAAAAGTGTGGGACAAAAGAAGCCAGACATGGACAACCATAGTCTGTGATTCACTGTACAAAGTTAAATGAACAATAAAACAAAAGCAAAACCAGGCCAAGCCTATAATGGCTAGGAATGCATTCCTCCTAACAAACATCTAAGTCTCGTATCTTGGATGAAGCTAGATAAATTCTTATTTAAATGTCGTGAAGATGTCATGTGTAGATTTAATATTTTCTGTGATTGTATTCCATAAAACACAGCTTTTTGTTTTGTTTTTGTTTTGAGACAGGGTTTCTTTGTGTAGCTCTGGAGGCTGTCCTGGAACTCATTTTGTAGACCAGGCTGGCCTCAAACTCAGAGGTCCACCTGCCTCTGCCTCCCGAGTCCTGGAATTAAAGATGTGTGCCACCACCACCACCACCTGGCAAAACACAGCTTTTAAAACAATAAACACTATGGAGCTGGAGAGATGACTCAGTGGTTAAGAGCACTGGTTTCCCTTCCAGAGAACCTAGGTTCAATTCCCAGTACCTGAATGCCAGGTCACAACTGTCTGTAACTACAGTTCCAGAGGATCCAACACCCCCACACAGACATACATGCAGGCAAAATACCAGTGTACATAAGAAACTTCCTGCAAAAAATATAGAGAAAGAGCCGGGCGGTGGTGGCGCACGCCTTTAATCCCAGCACTCGGGAGGCAGAGGCAGGCGGATCTCTGTGCGTTCGAGGCCAGGCTGGACCGATAGCCTCTGAAACAATATAGAGAAACCCTGTCTCGTAAAAACCAAAAAAAAATATATAGAGAGAGAGAAAGATAATAAACACTGTTATGTCCATCTCTGAAAACTCATGGCCACGGTTTCATGAGTTCTTTGGAAGACTCACAGGGTGTTTTGCACAGAGCTGCCTGTACTGCCTGTCTGAAGTGACAAGTTAACTGGGGTTATTCTTGGAAAAATTTGGGCACGCACGGGGCGGGGGGGGGGGGGATGAGAACAAACAGTGGAAATTTCAGCTATTTGGCCAGTATGATGTGTGAATGCTTGACCTCAGAATTCACGAGTTAGAGAGCAACCCCCAAAGTCATAGGTTCATGGGGTTTGGTGGGACCTTTGGGATGTAATTAGTTGAGTAGCTTTGTAATGGGAGGAGCTCTTTGGTTGATGTGTCTTTCCGTATGATGCCCCACACCATGCCGTAGTACAACACAAGAACTTCGCAGTTGCAAGCATCTCTGGAACTGTGAACTGAATCAACCTGTTCTTTGTAGATGTTATGGTATTCAGCTACAGTAAAAGAAGATGGACTAAGACATAGATTATAAAATGAAGAACAACAAAAAAAAGCTCTTTACAGTGGTGGAGTAGGAAGATTTAAGAGCTCAGTTAGTTGAATCAATATTCTAGGAGGTGCAGTTTTAAATGTTAGCAAACATGTAAATATTAAACTGAAACTCAAAGGCGACAGGAAAATACTACTTAATCTATAGTCACTGTTGTATTTCTGCCGTGTCTTTTCTGGGCTTAGTGCCTCTTCCTTGTTTTCAGTGTGGGACAGTGATAACTGCCCCCAGGATGATGCCAGACCCGTCCAGGCTCTGTGGGAACTTGCTCAGTAGCTGATGTGATTCCTCTCTTACATGTGTTTTCTGGAGTTGCTGTCCTTCCTGCCTGTGAGCCCCGCAGGTCACTTGAATAGACTGCAACTACCCTGGGCCCCCTCCACAGCAAACATGGGAAGTTAAGCAGACTCGGTAAGCAGAGGCTGAGGAGGGCTCATAGTAGAACTCTTCCTTGGGGAAAGGATTCTGATACAAAGCAACTCAATAGGCTCTAAAATCCTCCATAGGTTAGTTTCGATGTCGACCACAGATTACCCCACACACACACACTCCCTGCTGACTCCATGCTGGGCAGAAACTGCAGGGCGATGGTAAGTGGTCCAGTACATTGCAAGTGGGCAGGCAGCTCCTCTAACTCTCCCAAACTCCAGCAGAGCTCCTTCTCAATACACACCAGGATGCTCTCCTGAAATCTTGTGGTGCCCCCGCCCTCAGAATAAAGCTGAATTGACTGAGCTTACGGATTCTTCTCGGTAGAATTCCCCTCTCCCTTCTGCTGCTGCTGCTGCTGCTCAGTTAGGCTCTTACTGAAAGACTTTCCTTATTCCCAACGTTGAAGAGACACCTGCATGCAGGCTCCTGGCCCTATGCTTCAGCAGAACCAGATCAACGGTTAGTGCATCACACACACATGCTCAAACAGCCAGCCCAAGGCGCAGGTGGAGCCTCCCTTACCCACCTGAGAGGGAACACATATGTGTACTACAGGGAAGTCCTGTACTATGGGGATCCGCTGCAGGGGCTGGAGTCTAGAAGGCAGCCGGAGGAGCATAGCCTGTGCACAGAGCCCAATTCCAGCAGTTGCTGATTTTGCTCATGGAAAGCCCGTCTGGAGATAACAGGGAACACCGCTTGTTGTGAGGAGTGAATACAAGAAAGTTCTTGAAGGCTTTTGGTACAGACAGGCTTCAGACAAAACTGAGGCAACCAGGAAATGACAACACATTTTGAGAAATGACGAAGCAATGCCAGGTGAGGATCACCGTGGAGTGTGGCTATACCCTAAGGAGTGGGAACGTCATGTACAAGGGTCCTGTGGTGATTTTAAGAAATGTAAAGATTGTTAAAGAGCTGGCAGTGCCCATCTAGAGGAGAAGCAACCCAGAACAGACTGCTTCCTGTGAGTCCTCTGACGTTAGAAGAAATCTCCATAGCCCTGCTCAATTCTTCCACCATAAGGTCGGAGCTCATTCTTCATGGAGAAGGTGTCCTCAGCCCCGTTCTCCCCAAGCCCAGACATTCGCAGGGCTCCCATGGGGGGGGGAGCAAAGGGGCAGCTCTGCAACTCGCAGCAGCTCCAAATCTCGTTTCCCTGGAAACTGGAAGAACCAGTGGAAGTTTGCACTGAGCTCTGCTCTCAAGCGTGGGCGCCACGATCCTTACGCAGGCTCGCGGAGCCTCCTGGGCCACGAGCCAAGCAGGGTTGCGTCTTTGCTTTCTGGCGAGTCATCATTCACCAGGCGCAGGACCGGTAGGATGCTGTTTCAAATTCTGCTCCTCCTGCTAAAAATACAGAGAGGCTGGTTCGCTCTTTCTGAAGCCATGGGCCGAAGTGAAACCCACGCAAACGTCCGGGAGTCTTTGGAAGGCCTCCATACGCCCACCAGCAAGTGGCTTCTAGGAGGGGTGGGCGAGAGCCCCAGCACACAGGCACGGCTTCCCCAGGCAATTACAGTTCTTGGTTTTGGGAGGGTTCTTTAGCAATAAATAGGAAAGCCCCTGGGCCTTTGACGGACGGGAACCTGCTGTACTAAAGGCCGGCGCGCAGGCGCGTTCTCTCTACCGCCACCCCCCACCCATCCCTGCGCCCGGACCCTGCTTCTTCCCACCCCAGGCTCAGGCACAACCACCGCAGCCCGACGTTCAGTTCAGAAGCTGCGCAGGCGGCCTGAATCATCCACACCCGGGACTGCGGGCCGGGGCGGGGCTGCCGGAGGGAGGCCTCGAGGGTCCGGATTTGAGCTACCCTGGCACTCTCCCTGGCGCACTTGAGCGCAGGACGAATTCATTTACCTGCGTGTGAGGAAATTTTCAGCCAGACTGGAGACGGGACTGGACCCAAAGCTGAAACTCACCTGAGGTTGTCCCCAAGACTTCATGCTCGGGCCCTGCTCCGTGGCTGAGATCCTTGGAGAGAAATCCCCCCCCCCACGCCGCCACTGCTCTCGCACACCCTAGGCACAACCCCCAAGCCCCTACAATACTCGTCACAAATCCCAAGGTAACACACCTTTCCCTGCACATACACCAGATAATAATACACACACCACGCTTCCACTCCTGGACACCTCACGCGCTACACTGCACTCTGTGTTCGCCCTACGCACATCTCGGAATACACACCGCTCCCCCCCCACCCGCCGACCGCACAACACGTATGCGCACACCACCCTCCCGCACCCCATACTGTAAGGCCCTATGCACACCCCTCACACATGCACACAACGCACACCCCTACATGCCAACAATTCCCAAAGAAACACACTTCGTCCTCCGGTCCCCGGGTACCCTGCTCACTCTCCCCTATTCCTTCTGGACGTTTGCCTCCTCCTCCTCATCCTCCTCCTCCTCCTTCTCCTCCTCCTCCTCCTCCTCCTCCTCCTCCTCCTCCTCCTCCTCCTCCTCCTCCTCCTCCTCCTCCTCCTCCTCCTCCTCCTCCTCCTCCTCCTCCTCCTCCTCCTCCTCCTCCTTTTCCTCTCCGGGGCTCCTTTCTTCATACCCACCCCTGTCGCTGAAACCCCCTGCTAACTTCTTCGAGCTTCCGGGTCCAGTCAGGTGGGCGTGGAGACGAGCCTCCGCCGAGTGGATTGGGGAAAGCAAACGCAGGGCTTCCAGAGGTGGGAGGTCCCGGGGGTGGGGCCCAGGGGGGGTCCCTGGAGAAGGAGGCCCAGGTGGAGTGGCATTCCTAAGGCGGCAGGAGCTGGACAGCGACATTGACAGGGGGAGGACAGGAAGGCGGAGACTTGGCGAGGGGCCCCTTTCCTAAGGGAGGACCCGAGGGGAGTCCTGGGGACAGGAGGGTCGGGAGGGGGCCGCGGAGGGTGGTGTCAGGGCGAGGTGCGCGGAGCCGCGGGTGGGGGGGCCGCGCGTCCGGGGATCGGCGCCGCGGTCTGGGGAGGGGGCGCGCGCGCCTTGCGGTTTTCCGCACCGGCTCGGTTCCCGGTGCGGGGTCGCGGCGGCGGCGGCGGCGGCAGGCGGAGGATGCGGGCTCCAGTGGCGGCGGCGCGAGCTCGGGAGGACGCGGGAGGATGAAGAGGAGGCCGGCGGTCCGGCCGCGCGGCGCCGGGAGGAGGCGCAGGCGGCGGGGGCGGCGGCGGGCGGCGGCGGGCGCGCCGGGTGCGGGCCGGCTCCGGCGCGGAGGATGAAGTGGAGCGTCCGCGGGGCCTGCGCCGCGCTTTCCTCCAGCCTGCTGCTCGCCTGCGCGCTCAGCGCCGCCGCCGTCGGCCTCAAGTGCTTCTCGCTGGGCTCTGAGCTGCGCGGGGAGCCGTTCCGGCTAGGGGCGGCCGCCGGCGCCTTTTACTCGGGGTTGCTGTTGGCCGCCGGCCTCTCACTGCTCGGCGCCGCCCTGCTGTGCTGCGGGCCCCGGGAGGCGCCCCTTGCCGGGTCAGGGGCTGGGCCGGGCCCGGGACTCGGGGTCCCCGCATCTCCAACCGGCGCTCCGGAGCCCTCTCCTGGAGAGACGCGGCCGGCTGCCGGGCCCTTGGGGCGGGTGAATAGCCAGAACCTGCTGCTCCTAGGCGTCCTGGTCTTCATGCTCGGGGTCCTCAGCGCCTTTGCGGGAGCAGTGATCGACGGCGACACAGTGTCCCTGGTGGAACGCAAGTACTCCCACTATTGCCTGCCCCCGCGCGCGCCGGCTGCTGTCCCCGGCCCGGGCCCTGGCCCTGTAGCCCCGGGCTCCGGCACGCCGCGCGCCCGCAGCACCCTGGACAGCGCCACGTCCGCCAAATGCCGCCAGCTGAAGGACTACCAGCGCGGCCTGGTGCTCTCCACTGTATTCAACTCGCTCGAGTGCCTGCTGGGCCTGCTCAGCCTTCTACTGGTCAAGAACTACAAGTCGTCGCAGGCCCGGCGCGGCCGGCGCGGCCGGCGGAGGGCAAGCCGCTCTTTGGCGCGGCCGCGGGGCGGACCCGGGCTCCGAGCCCAGCCGCTAGCCTCCCGGACCAGGCGCGGCCGCCGGGGCAAAAGGGGGCGGCGGCTGCAGCCACGGCCCAGCGAGGCCTCCATCCTATCCCCGGAGGAGTCCGACTTCACCACCCCAGGAGACTGCGCGAGCTTCGCGGCGCACCACGCTGTGTCCTACATCAACGTGGGCGTCTTCCATGCGTTTGACGAGGCGGGCGTGGAGGTGTGCTGTGGCGGGCACCCGTCGGTGGAGCTGCCGGGGTACGCGCCCTCGGACCCGGACCTCAATGCCTCCTACCCCTATTGCTGTCGGCCCCCTTGTGAGATGGCGCGCCCTTGGGAGCCTAGCCGGGCCTGCTGAGTCCAGGCCCGAGCGGCCTGGGACACCTGAAAGGGCAGCGGTCGGGCTTTGCCTGGCGTTGTGCCTGTGCGTGGCTTGGCACTCTTCTGGCCCGGCCCAGTGAGGTCTGCGAGACCCTAGGACACTCCGGTATTCTCCTTTCTGTGTGAGGAGGTGTCTCCCCTCTGTGTCATTCGTATCCGGACTCCATTTAAAGTTTACAATAAATGTGTTGGGGTGGTGGGCTTGCGGATCACACTCCTCTTAAGACAAGTCCGTACCCCAGGACTGCGCTCGGAGGTCCTGGGTCGAATGGGCAAGAACAGAACTCTTTATCGAAGGCGAATTTCGTGTGGAGGACCTCGGCTGAGAGTACAAAGCAGTTGGAGCTGTAGGAACACAAGAACAAACCAACAGCAACACTTTGTACCCGGATGTGCCTGCTTCTGTCGACACTTTCTTACTGTAAAGCTCTCCATAAACAGTGAAAAAAAATGTTTGGTAAATTTATTGCAATTTGACATTGGTGAGTTCCTTTATTAAACTGATTGCTATGTTACTGGAGAATTTCATCAGCTTGGAATTAGAGGATGCCTACGCTCAGATCAGCATGGGGGAGAGTGGCTGAATTGGGACAGACAAATGCTGAGTTAGAACATCTGTGTTCTGCTCGCTGGTTGACTCGGTCCAACCCGTCTCCGAGCTAACTGCTGTGCGTGCGTGCGTGTGTGCGTGCGTGGAGTCACTGATGCCAGACCCCTGCATTTCTGTTTTTGGAAACTGGCTGTGTGGTTTCTACTGCAAAGCAGTATGTTTTATTTTTGGTTAACACATATGAACAGTTTAATCCTATTTTGAAAAATCAAAGTCCTAGTTTTTCTGCAAAGATAAATTTCCTGTTAACTCAATAATCTGGTAATTTTGATTATATAGCATTTCATTTAAAGTACACCACTTTAATAGCCTTAATGAATGTGGAGGACATATCTTTAAGTGAGTTTAATATACGTGTAACCATTTACACACAAATGAAATGAGTTCTCTATGATCAGAGTGTCTCCATCCTTCTGGTGGGTTGGCTTAAAGTCAAGCAGGCTCTTATCTAAGTCTTGGAAATGAGGTGATCTGACCTTCATGTACCTGGACTAGTGAGACCAGGCAGGTGGCGACTCACAGACCAGCTGGGAGCAGAGCCCTGGCCCAAAAGGTATGCCTCTTTCATGTGGAGGATAGGAGAAGTTCCTCTCAAGTGCAAATATCCATACCATCGCCAGAGGCCAGGAGAGGCACGGAATCCTGGGTAGTGTCTCAATGTACAAAACACTGCTTCCAACTGTGAAGAAGCCTCCTGTTTAAGGAGGAGGCAGGGTTCCCAGTTGCAGGTGTGTGATGGCACCTTTCCCTAATTCCCAAATGCCCTGCCCAGAGCTCTCCTGTATCTTTGGCATACTACCCTAGCTGGAACCTAGCTAGCTGCCCTCTACAGCAAAGGCACTAGAGGATGAGGGTGCCCCAATCACATTTCCATGAAGAACATCGAGGTCCATCGCCAGCTATGGGCCAAGCTGTGGTGGTGATAACTGGTCTTACCTATGCATAGACATTTCCTCTGAAGCTTGAGGATCTGATCAAAGAGTCAGTCCTGACAACTGTTTGAAACCACCCAAGGAAAAGTCATCACTCATGGCTAGATCCTTGGCTCTCACCTATATCAGACATTTGATGTCTTGGGGGCAAGGTGAAAAAAAAAAGATTAAGTGTGATTTCACCCGTCCTGCTGTTGGTATTCAGTCTAGTCTTCTTGTGCCTCGTTAGTAGCCAACTGCCCGTCAGCCTAAACAAAAATGTTACAAATGGCAGCACAGACTGACTTAAGATGCTTTCTCCCATCTACTCAAATCCAAGTATTTGACATTGCCGGGTGTTTCCAACAGAGAACAGAGATCTCATGGGTAGGCATTAGGCCACTCTTGTGGGTCCACTCAGCAGCTTTGCGGGTGAGCACAAGCAACCAGCCTGGGTGGAGACAATCTGTAGGCTGCATGGATGTAACAAGTCAGTCCATCCTCCTTGGACCTTTGGTTTTTTTTCCTAAGGTGTTTATTTAGTCTTGTGCATTTCACATAGCTCAAAATGTTAGATGCCTCATGAGTCTTTCAAACTGTCTATCAAGGTCAGTGGCCTTTTTACAGTTCATATTTTTCTTGGAATAAGTTTTGCAGGGAGGACTGACGTGGGCCAGACCAGAGGCCAGGGAAGGAAGAGGATGCTGGCATTATGCGTATTGTCTGACCAGGACAGCAGGGGGAACCTGGGATGTGGAAGGTGGGGGCTTTCCCCTAGACTTGGGCGAATTAAGCCTCTTCCACGAGACCAATGGATTAAATGAATGCTTCGAGATCTGGCGTTCCTAACTCCCAAGTTCATTAATGTTATTATTGGCTCCACCTTTACAGGGGTGAGTATGAGATGTGGGGTTGCAAAGTTTTACTTTTAAAGCTTACCGAGGAGAAAGAATCCCACTATTGTTGGTTTCCTGCAAAGATCAGCGGTTCTCAGGGAACCTGGCATGGAGGGTCACAAGACTGTTACCACCCCACTCTGCAGTCAAATTCACAGCAGTTTTCATTTGTGCCCACTCTTCTTTCCTGAGGCTTTAAGTAGTTTTCAAGCTGATTCTTTGTGTCACTTGGGAAATAAGTCACTTGTTGGCCTTTCTTCCAAAATTAGACACAAACACATCTTAGTGTTTTTACATGCTAAATACTTACTCTCCGTAAAGGCATTATTTTTTCAGAAGGAGGAGCTCACTGTCCTTAGGGCTGGAAGCTTAGCTTTAAGGGATTAGGACATGGCGTGGACTGGAACAGAGAACCTGCCCAGAAAGCAATGTTTGATTATAGAATCAGTGGACACTAGTACCTACATTTCCATTCATTGTTTAGAAGTATGTTCTGTTCATGATGACACTACACATAATCTCTTGTGGTGTTTGAGGGGCCAGGCCAGATAAGTGAAGTCTGGGTACCTGGGACACAAGTAGAATCCATTCTTGGCTTTGTAGCCTGGCTGTGGGCCCCCAATATTACACTGCCATCTTCCTGCTGCAGTATTATGGCATAGAATGAATATACAGGAGCCTCTGAGGCCATATCTAAGTACCATTACCAGTGTCAAGGCATTTCAGTGGGTTTGTGGTGAGATATTTTGGGATCTGGGCAAGGGGTAGGCTGTTAGACTAAATCCTCAGGCTCTGTGCATGTTACTTAGAGCCTGCTACAAGTAATTCTAGTGTTGACCACCAGGTACATCCTTGTGAAGTTGGGCTCATCCTACAGTACCCCCCAAAGTCGTCATCACCCCAAAGTATTTCTTCTCATGGAGATCTCAGAGAAAAGTAATAAATGGCAGAGACCATAAGAAAGATCTGGCATATAATAAGCACCAGTGGCTTATATACCTGTTCCACAGTATCCAAGAGCATTGCTGTGGTCTTGTGTCAACAGCTGTGATTTCCAGGGCCCAGTGTCCCAGCTTGCTTTACTGCTTAGTCAACAGGAAAAAAAAATCCCAAAGGGGAGAAGGAAATTAATTTAGGACAGGAGCTAGCAAACTTTCCTTATGTTCTCAAAATTGAGATCTGAGCAGCTCCTGGGATAAGAAGAGAAGCCTGGTGATTCTATTGCTAAACTCCCTTCCCAGGGGGAGATGTAAACCAATGTCTCCTCTTCCTAAGGTTCAACAACAAACCAAGGTGTGATTCCACTAGCGTTCACTCTGGGGAGCCAATGAGTTTACTGAGCTTACTTATAAAGCACAAGGGTAGCCAGGC